TAGTTCACAGCCTCTGTCTCCATCCAGGCATTATCAGTGTTACGAGGGTCATCCACATATCCTCTGTACACCTGTAAGGCCCCAAACAAACCAGAACAAGCTCAGTGTCAAAACAAAGGAGGTGGAATCAGTCATACTTTTTCCTTTCTCTCTGAGACATTTGCCCTCACAGAGTTTTCAACAGTCCCTTCAATTTCCTACACCCCAAGAAGATGAGCATCACAACTTATTTTCATTTCAGCTGCACTTCTTCAGATTTCATACAGCTGTGAGTTACATGCACAGCTCAAAAGGCCACCACAAGAGACACAGAGCTCACCACAAAGTGTTCCTGGCTGAACAGCTTCTGGAGCTGCTTCTCCAATTTTGCTTTCTCCTCAGGGGATTTCTGCAGAGAGTTCAAGGCCTCCTCCTCAAATTCTCTCCTCAGAGTAGCAGTGATCTTCTCCCCTGGGTCCACCATCCCCTTAGAGGGGGGGAAACAAACAAACAAATACTATCACTCAGATTCTACACATTTTAACTCCTAGCTCTTAGTATATTACATCCACTTGCATCACACACGTGCCATATCTGCCTCATGGCTTCACCAGCAGGGAAATGCCAGCTGCCTCTGAAGCTTTGCCCTTACCCCTGGAATGGCCCACTCCCCACAGTCTCTCCTCTTGATGGCTACGAACTGCAAGATGTTCTTGCCAGAAACTGGATGAGCAACTTTATTGCCACTTCCATCCCTTTTCCACCTGCAGAAAATGATAAACAAGAATATGTTGTGCCGCTTCTAGACACCTGGGCCTGAGAGAGGAAGAGCAAGGCACTGCAACCTTTGTGTGGTGACAAACAAAGCAGAGAATGAACAGTTGGGATGACCAACAAATGCCATCCAGCAGGACTGCAACCAAGGACAGAACAATGAGGGTTTTCCTCAGCCACAAGGGCAGAAAATGCCCATGAGGCATGTTTCTGCAGCCAGGCTGGTAGCAGCAGCTCCTCTGAAAGCTCTCCGAGCTGCACTTGTGCTAGTTCATACCAAGACGATGAGAATGTTTCTGCTGGAACAGAATGGTCACACAAGCTGCAGCAGTACCAGGACAAAGCCACAAGCAGCCACCATTGCCTTCAGTAAATAACTAAGAACTACCAACAGGCAGAGCAAAAAGCTGTCTAAACAAAAAATAAAACAAAAAGAAATCCAGCATTCATTTTCTAGGAAGCAACTCAGTAGCATTGGCATCCTTTAGGAAAGCAGAAGAAGTAAAATGCATCAGGATGATTTTCCACAATGGTTCTGTCTTCAGCATTGCACTTTCTAGTTCACACTTCTGTTAACCACACAATCTTTTCTGAATACTTTGTGTACAATGGTTAGCATGTACACACATCCTGCTGGAAAAGCACATCAAAACAAAGCCTACAGTGACAAAAAGAGCATCCTAATCCCACCTCCTCCTATCATAGACTAAGTCTAGTGTTTAAGTTAGTGTTTCTTGTATTAACAAAAGCAGAATGAGCTTACACATAGAAAACACACAGAGAAAAGGGCCACGAAAAGTGATATGCTGCCCAGAGAAGCAGAAAAAAAGCAAAATGCAAGGGTTCTTCCTCTCGTGCAGGATCCCTTGCAGTTACCTGCCCCTTACCTGGTTACAACAGGATCAGCAGCATGGTTTGGTCCCCAACGCCCCAACAATCCTCTGCCAGTGAGGCCAGTCCTTCCCACTGGATTGCTGAAATAAAAGCCACAGTACATGACTCATGTAGTCCTGAATTGGCTCCAACTGGAAATTAAGCCCAGCCACACCCAGCTATTCTCATCTCTGAGGACCAGCTGAAATTAAAGGGAGTTTATTTTCTGCTAAATTTCCAAACCCTTAACACATTAGATGTATTTATTTCCCCACATTCAAAACATTCTACAAAAAAAAGAAAAACCAACCAAAACAAATTAAAAAAACACAAAACAAGATTAAATAACAAAAAAGGGAAGGACAGCAACACATATTTTGTGTTAAAGCACATACATGCTTTAAAGGGCAAGAGATATAACACGTTTTTCTCATTCACCAACTTAGGTTCATCAAACTAAACTCCATTTTTCTCTGTTGGCTTTGTCCTAGCAGGTACTATGTATTGACAGAACTGTAAGAGCACTGAAACTACACCACTGAAATGAAAATACAAACAAAAACCCCACACTCACCGGGGTCTCCCATTTTCGACCACATACAAGCCATTCAGACTCTTCCTCTCCACTTCTCCATCTCTCTCATTGAATTTGGGAGAAAAACCTTCATTGCTGTGTGGCAAATAAGAATTTAATAGAGACAAATTACAAAACACAAAAGCTTCTATGCCAGCCATCAGACCAGCAACACCCCTTTGAGTGTGTTAATGAGCAGCTTTTACCAGAACTGGAGTTGCAGGCCCTCCCTTTTCTAAAGGAGGCCATGAAGTCCTAACCTTTTCTGATTACAGTCCCTCTGTATCTAGGTCTGTAGGCAAAAGTGCAGAACTAAAGTATTTAATATTGCATCTCTCTAAATCTTCACTTGGACAAAGTGTTTCAAAAGTATTTTTGTTAAGATTAGAGGTGTAGAATCACAGAATCATTTTGGTTGGAAAAGACTCCTAAAATCACCAAGCTCAATGCAGCACTGCCAAGCCCTCTACTAAACCATGCCCCCATGTGCCACATCCAGATATCTTTTAAATGCCTCCAGGGATGGAGATTCCACCAGTTCCCTAGGCAGCCTGTTCCAGTGCCTGACAAACTTTTTGGTGAAGAAATTTTTCGTGACATCAAATCTAAACCTCCCCTGGCAACATGAGGCTATTTGCCGGTTGTCTCATCCCTTGTTACTCAAGACGGAAGAACTGACACCCACATTGTTACACAATCACAAAAAAAAATAAATCTGTAATTAGTTCAACCTTTCACATTTCCTGAGTCAGAGTGCACCTTTCAAAAACTACAATTACACTTTCTTTTTTCATGTTACATTCCAACTACAAATAAACAAGTGTATCACTAAAATGTTCTTCCAAATTCTTAAAGAGAATTAGATTTTATTTAGCTCACACCACAGAGAAACACAGCATCAACAGCTGTCCATTATTCCAATCTTAATCACCAGCTCAGTAAAATCATGTATCAAAGACCTTCACAACAATCCAAGTACTCACTTCTCTAATTTCCACACACCACTGTGGAACCACACATCACTTGTTAATTCAGGATTAGTTCCTGCTTTCCTGCTCACAGGGGAAAAGAGCCACCACTTCCACTCACTTGATTTGGGGATCTGCCCAAGTGGGTCCGGCCAAAACAGACTTTGCAGTGTACTCCACAGGATCATAACCTTCCCACTCAGTCTGCCAGCCCACTTTATCTTCAGGAACTTGGCTACGCTCAACGTGTGATCCTGGATATGGGGAGGTGAGAGCTTTTCTGTGGTGGAACTTCACATTATAACTGTTGAACATGTTTACAGGATGAAGACGGGACCAACAGCTTGCAGATAAATTACTAAAAGAAAAAAAAAGAAAACAACAACAACAAAAAATCTTATTCATTACGTTTTAACATGCTTTTTAATCCCCAGTCTTTAAAGTACAATACAGCAAGTGGAATAGACTCAGCTCTTTCACAGAAACAATTGGGTTGGAAAAGACCTTTGAGATCACTGCGGCCAAACTATGAACAAATACCATCGTGTCACCTCGACCATGGTACTGAGCACCACTCCAGCCTTTCCTTGAACACCTCTGGGGATGGCGGTTCCACCACCTCCCTGTGCAGCCCATTCCAACGCCTAATGAAATTAGAAGAAATTCCCCCTAACACCCAACTCACGAAACGCCTGAAGTTCACAACAAAAACCTTTTAAGAGAAACGTGGCAAAGAGCAAAACCCCTCTTGCACTTTCCAGTAATTACACCACTTTAGGTGACAGCCCCGCCTGCCTTTCCCACGGAGGGACACCCTGAGGGACACCACACACTCCGGCCGAGCTCGGCGGGCAGGGTTGTACGGCAGCCCCGGGACCTCGGCCGAGCCGCTCCCGGCCGAGCAGGCCGCCGACCGCCGGCAGCCACACCGCGGCCCGCTCCGGGCTCCCGCGGCCCGCAGTACCTGTGGGCAGCGCCCCGGGCCCTCAGCAGGACGGAGAACGAGAGCACGACCACCACCCGCGGCAGAGCCCCGGCCAGCAGCGGCATCGGCCCCGCCGCCACGGGCCCGCCTCCGCCTCAGCCCCGGGGCCGGGCCGGGCAGCGAGGCAGCCCGCTGCAGGATGCCGCTGCTGGATCCCGCTCGGAATGCCGCCCCTTGATCCCGCTCCTTGCTGCCCCGCCTTTGTACAAGCTGGCCCCGCACCGGCGGGAGCGGCGTCAATGGCAGCGCCCGGTGCTGGCTCTGCTGGGGCGGAGCTCCGCGGCCAAGGCAGCCCCGCGGTGCTGGCTCTGCTGGGGCGGAGCTCCGCGGCCAAGGCAGCCCCGCGGAGCCGGACGAGCGCTGGCACTCAGGGGAGGGTTGGTGACACACCCGTGTCTTAGATGCCGTGGGCAGCGCTCCCACAGCATCAGCGCTGTGTCCCCAGCATTCCCAGCCCTGTCAGTGGGCAAGATCCTGGGAGGGAACACAGCCAGGCCAGCTAACCCGACCGACCAAAGGGTTATTCCGTGCCACATGACGGCAGCTCAGACATAAAACATAAGGAAGGGAAGGGAGGGCATTCGTTGTGTTTGCCTTCCGGAGCGACCGACGTGCGTGCGGAAGCCCTGCTCCCCGCGGGGAAGTAGAGCATAACCTTTTCTCTTTCATATCTTTCACTTTAATCAACAACCTTATCCCAGGGTGGGCGTCTCCATTTCCCAGCTATTGTCCCTCCCTGCGGAACCCGGAAGACGAGCCCCACAGAGCGGCCCGGAGCGCGGCCGGGCCCCGCACCGCCCCCAGACACGGTCCCGCGCTCTGATTGGGCGCCGAGCCCGGGGGCGTGGCCTCGGCCGGCTGTGGGGCGGGCGGCGCCGGCGGCTCCAGCGCAGTCCGGGCACGGCGGGAGCTCCAGGGAAACGATGAATCTGGTTCTGGAGCTGCTCCTGTTCCTGGCCACGCTCCTCTTCTCCTACCTGGAGGCTTTCGTGAAGCTGTTCGTGCCCGTGAGGAGAAAGTCTCTCAGCGGGGAGCTGGTGCTCATCACGGGCGCTGGCCATGGCGTCGGGAGAGCGACCGCCTTGGAGTTCGCCAAGCGCCAGAGCAGGCTGGTGCTGTGGGACATCAATAAGGTAAAGGACACGCTCGTGTCCTCGCTCCGTGTGACCTGAGACCAGAAGGCTGTTTGCAGAGAGGAGCAGGTCTGCCTTCGCTTGTTCTCTCTGTAGCCTCGGGTGTTTTGTGTGCATTGCTGGGAGATGTGTTTTTTCTGCGCTCTCGTCAGCAGCATCCCTGTGCCGGGCTGTGTGAGCCCGGCTGCCCTCTGGGCAGCTGCAAGCATAGGTGGCACCTCTCTAAGTGTTTACACTGGCCCAAGCTCTTTATTTGATTGATTTGATGATTTGACTGGAATGCAGAAATGCCGTGGCAGGTGGAGCATGGGCAGGTACAGACATGCAGCATGGCATTCTGAAGAAATCCAGGCCAGGTGCTGGGTGTAGGTGCAACAGGGTGGTGAGAGGCTGCGGTTCCTGTTTCTGACACACCGGGTCAGCAGAGGAGTTCATCATGAAGCTGTAAAACAGAACCCAGCCCTCCACAAACAAAAATACACCAAACCTGAGACAAGCTGGATGAGAGGATGGATAAACAAGGAAGTTAGTGTTGTACATTTTCAGTGTCTATTCCTGGTACCCATTATACCTAAGATCAGACATTGGAGGGGGTATGGCACTGCTCTCCCAAAGTGTGCAGGGCTGCAGTGAAACAGAATTGTTCATGTTCACGGGATGGAATGGGGAGATTAGGTATAAATTTAGTAGTGAGCGACGCCTGGCTTTAGTGCTGGGAAGTAGATTGTAAGCGTGGGTGTCAGCAGTGCAATAAATAGGTGTGATTCATGCTGATAAAATTGAAACAGTAATCAATATTGATACAGTAATTAATATTTGGAAATAATAAAACAGTTAAAGGTGTAATGCCAAGAAAGAAAGGGAGAGGAGGGGCTCCCCCCCTTCTCCTGCAGATGTTCAGAACAGGAAGAAGAGATAACTATTACTAAATTTAGTTGGAAGAGAGGAAAATTTGGTTGGACATCCAGGAAAATATTAATTGTGTGAGATGTATTTCTTTGATGCTAGAACATAATACTGGCTTGTATGATATTAGCTTTGGCTTACATTATACCAGCTTGGTGCACGTGTGTAATCCAAAAGGTGAATCAAAGAACATCGAGGAAGAGGAGAGGCCTTCATCAGGGATGACCCCTAAAAAATGGTGTGACCACCTAAAAAATGGTGGAGCATGCGTGGTGAAGGTGATGATGAGGGTGGAGATACAGTGTGATGAATTGAAATGGGAGGAGATGGTGATGACATGCAGCATAAAAGAGGGAACTTTGGCTTGGCAAGTTTCTACATGAGGTGACGGGAGTCAAGCCCTGCCCTCGGTACCCTGCATGGTTATTTTTGCTTATGCACTATTATCAGAACCAAATTATTCCTTGTTTTAACCAAATTATATTGTCAATATTTCAAGTGTATTCAATTTTATATATTTTAAGCTACTTAATTAAAATTGCTGCTACATTTCATTTTGTTGTTTTGGTTTTTTTTATGGGATAATTGGGCAAATATAACAGCAGGAACTGAAATACAGTATCAAGGGAGGCTGTGGATTGCAGAGGATTTAGGAGTATGCTCCTCCAACCCAGGTGTCTTGACAAGGCCTCCTTCTTGGGGGCTCTCAGCATTAAAGAGCAGCTGGTGTTGAGGACAGCTGCCCAGTCACTCACTACAGGGACTGCTGAGTCGTCCCAGGCTATTTGTGACCTAGAGCTTTTCAATGCACAGGTTCCACTGGCATGGCCTTCTGGCACCTGGGAACAGGGATACAACAAAGTCATTTCTACTCTGGCTTAACAAGTTAATGTAATGACTTCAGGGAGCTTCTGACCTGTGTGTATCAAAGGTCATCCTGGAATTAAAATCTTTCTACATTGTGAACTGTGGAGGGCCTTTCTTCTCACACCCAGCATGCAAATACAGAAAGACATAGAGCCAGTTTTTCATATCCCAAGGTGTCAGCCAGGCCTGTATTTTCAAGCTGTTTACACTCACAGTGCTGCCTGCTGTGCTGTAACAGGCAGTGTGTGCCCCTTTCTGCAGCCTTGCTCTGTCTGCCTCACCAAGCCAAACTCACTCTTGTTGCCACCCTCCCTTTCTGGCTGTCACTACATGCAAATCCTGAATTTAAGGCTGAAATGCCTGTCCTCTCAGCAAAACCATCCACAGCTCTTTCCATGAACTGTTCAGGGGCTGGGCAGTGGTTGCTCAATCCAGGGACATCTTCAGCCTCTGCTGCCCAGCTGTGGTGAGGGGACAGCTGTGCACGGGGTCTTTCTCTTTGCCTCTTCCAGCACGGCGTTGAGGAGACGGCAGCAGAATGCCAGAAGCTGGGAGCCACTGTTCAGAGCTTCGTGGTGGACTGCAGCAAACGGGAGGAGATCTACAGTGCTGCAGACAAGGTGGGGCAAGGTCATCGCGACGGGCCCCCAGCCTGGTAAAAATTAGCATTGACTCCATGACTCATAGAGGGCTGATCAATCTTTTTATTATATAATTATAATTATTAAGAAACCCATTGCTTTTGTAGACAGTTATGATACAGTTAGACCTAATTGGTCCTCCAATCCAAACACCATGACCATTGGCTAATTAAAAAAACACCCTCAATAACACATTGCAGATGTTCACAACAACAGGTGCAGCAAGTAAAGATAAGAATTGTTTCTCATTGTTTTCTCTGATCTTCTCACAGCCTTCCTCAGAAAGGCCTGGGAAAGTTATGTGTTGCTCCCTGTGGCCAGAGAGCTGCTGCCACAGGGCAGCAGGGGCACAGCCAAAGGCTTTCCCAGCCATGCTTGATTCCCAGAGAAGGCAGGAAAACTAGAGAAGATGTGTTGTACACAAATCCTGCAAGCCCTTGGAAGCTCTCTACTCCTCACTGCTCTCTGGACACAGAGTGCTGTAGCATTTCCAAGATCACAGCCAGTCTCATCCAGGAAGCTCCAGCATATCACATCCTCTTGCCAAATTTGTTCTCTAGGGCTCCAGCCTCTGAAGGAACATAGACAGCATTGAGAACATATGAAACATTTTACTGTAATGGCTGTGGTCCAGCTGCCTCAGAACAGTCTGTACCTCTGTGGTCCCAAGTGTTGGACAATACCCTTTTCTTGACCCAGAGATGGGGCAACTGAGAGGCATTTTAAAAACTTTTATTCCATTTTCAGTCTTATGAGAAGAGTGAGACAAGACAGATGTTATAATTCACGCCATCACAATCAGAAGCTGACTGATTCCTAATTACAATATGCTATAAGTGTTTCTTGGCCAATCAGCTTTCTGCCAAACCATGCTGTAGATGCCTTAAAATCAATAATCTAAAACTACCCCTTGTGGGTCCCAATACAATGCATCATTCATAGTTCTATTTCTCCAAACTATCTAGTCTTATTTGCAAGGCCATCCTTTCAAACTTTTTTCTAGCTCCATTTCTCTCTTAATATCTGTCCTCTTCCATGGCATTTCTAAGTCAGCATTTCTTGTCTCAAAGTTTGCATACGGATGCATACTGGGTGGACCTTCTGTCAGGCCCTGAGAACTCTGCAGAAATCCATTTCCCACACCAATTGTGACTACATGGTCCAAACTGTGCACAGTTTGTGGAACACAATAAATAATGGCATTAATGAATGGGGAAGAATCAGATCTAAACCAGATTCCATAGCTCTACTGCAAAGTTCCTGCCACATCTGGAAATGTGGCATGATCTCCCTCTCCCTTGGAGATGCACTGTTAAGAATTTAATTATGGTTCAACCTCTCCCCCCTTACTTTTTTTTTTTTCTTTCTTCTGAGTAACAGACTCAATTTTGGGCTTTTGTTTTCTCTCCAAAAGGTGAAGAAGGATATTGGGGATGTGACTATCCTGGTGAACAATGCTGGTGTGATTACAACTGTCAGTTTTTCTAGGAGGATGCTGTGGCAGATGGTGTCAAACACTTTACTGAAGTCTAGACAGACCCTGGATAGACACATCCACAGCCTGCCCCTCATCTGCTAGGTGGGCCACTTCGTCATACAAGGAGATCAGGGTGGTCAACCAGGGCCTTCTTTTCATAAATCCATGTTGCTGGGCTTGATCCCCTGGTTGTGCTGTATGTGCCTTGTAATGGTACTCAGGATGATCTCTTCCATAACCTTTCCGACAACCAAGGTTAAGCTTACAGGCCTGTGATTCTCTGGATAATCCTTCCACCCCTTCTTGTAGATGGGTGTTACATTTGCTAATTGCCAGCCAGATGAAACTTTTCCAGTTAACCAGGACTGCTGGTAGGTGATTGAAAGTGGTTTGGCAAGTTCTTTCAATAGTTCTGTCATTACTCGGGCATGGATCCAAACAGAGGTCATAGATTTTTGAGTGTCGAATTGGCACAGCAGATCACTAACCATCTCCTCCTGGATTATGGGGACCCTTCCCTCAGCTCTCTGTCACTAACTTCCAGCTGTAGGAGCTGAGAATCCTGAGGGACAACTGGACAATATTAAAGACTGAGACAAAGAAGGTATTAAGTTCCTCTGCCTTTTCCTCTTCCTCTGTCATTACACTGCCTTTTGTGTTCTACAAATGATGGAGACATTCCTTGACTCCCCTTTTGCTGTATTTATAGAAAACTTTTTTGTTGTCTCTAAGGACAAGTACTAGTAGGGCTTTGGTCCTTCTAATCTTCTCCCTACATGACCTCACAACATCTTTATAGTCCTGCCAAGTTAACTGACCCTCCATCTGGAAAGAATACACTGGTTTTTTTCCCTGAAGTTCCAGCCTAAGTTCTCTGTTTAAAGGCTGATCTTTTCCCCTGACGACTTGTCTTTCAACTACATGGGGATGGGCTACTCTTGAATATTTCACAATTCCTTTTTAAAGCATATCCAGCCTTCCTGTACCCCTTTACCGTTCAGGACTGACTCTGTCAATCAGTGTCCTAAACAAGGCCAAGATCTGCCCACCAGAATCCAAGGTGGAAGTTCTGGTGCCCCTCTTTGCTTCACCCACTATTGAAAACTCTGACATTTTGTGGTCCCTTTGCCCAAGACTGCCACCAACCACCATATCACCCACCAGTCCTCTGTTCACAAACAACAGGTTTACCAGGGCACCTCTTCCAGTAGGTTCTCTTACCAGCTATGTTAGGAGGTTGTCTTCCAAACACTCCAGGAACCTCCTAGGCTGCTTCCTCTCTGCCATGTTATATTTCCAGCAGACATTTGGCAAGTTGAAGGGCTGGAAACCATGAGGCTTCTGCCAGCTGCTTGTAGAACACCTCACCTGCCTGTTTGTCTGGCTGGGTGTCCTGTAACAGCCTCCCACCATGAGGTCCTCCCTGCCGACCTCCCCCCCGACCTTCTGCCATCGTGACCTCAAATTACTTTTCTACTTGAAAGGTGTCAGGAAAATCATGGTGCAGGCACCAAAAACCTGTTAGACTGTGTTGCCATCCTGCATCACGTCCAGCCCTGGGAACACTCCTTAGAACAATCTTTTCCCAGGAATACTCCCTCTTAGAGAGTCACTCACTGTCAGCAATGCACGAACTCTTCAACCAGGGATTTTACTGGGATTACGTTGCCAAATCCATAGCAATTAACAAACTGATTCTGTTGTTTTCCTTTTTTGGAGTTGATTTAAACCTCAGGCCCACACCTATTTCCATGGCAGGTTGTTCCTCAGTTCTGCTTGCATAATGTTTCTCTATTTCAAAAGTCACACAGAACTGTTACAGGATGCTCCTGTATGGTACAATTAAACAGTAGCAGGTTAATCTCCATTTCTACCCTGCCTATCCTTCCTAATTTTAGAGATTCAGGCTGCATTCCTTCTAGGAATCTTCTCTCATGCGAAAGAACAGGATGTCCATTGATTGATGCACTTCAGATGCAATTTTCTAAGAATTCCTAATGTTTGTCTGCCTGTTTGCAACTAAAGTGCCCTTTCTTGAGATACCTGCTATGCATTGGACAATTAATCCACAAGTTTCAATATCTTATCCACTACACTCTGGCACAGGCAAAGTTAGAATATTCCCTGCCCTGCCTCTCAGATGGATTATATTATTTGGAGGGTTTTGTCTCCACATAACAAGGAGCAGAAAGAGGGGTAAAGGGATAGAGAGCACATAGTGGCAATAAGGGGTAGGGGTTAGGATATAAGGTAGAGCAGAGGTGCACCAGCCCTCACCCCTCCCCTAACCTTAAACAGCACCCAAGCAACTAAGAGGCAGATGATGGTTTAGGCCATTTGCAATGGCAGAAAGTTAGAAATAGGATTTCTGCTTTCTCATTTGTACTTTCTCCCTTCCTGCAGCTCAAGCAAGTTTGCTGCAGTTGGATTTCATAAAGCTCTGACAGAGGAGCTGTCTGCCCTGGGAAAGGATGGAATAAAAACAACATGCCTTTGTCCAGTTTTTATAAACACTGGATTTGTCAAAAACCCCACTACAAGGTAACTCTCACTACTCTGCATTCCTGTGTTTCCTTCCTTGCATCAAGGCCCTGCATATTATCCCCAGCTTTAGGCCTCTGTTCCCACTGGCTGTATAACAACAGTTTGTATCATTGACTAAAGAACATCTGCAATGTCCTTTAATTGTTGTTTAATTGTCCATGCAATTGTTGCATTTGAATTACCTGAGTTTGTACATTTGTGAAGCCTCCTAGATCAGCTGGTACCACCCCATTTTATCACTGCAGCTCTTATGTGTTTGCTTTCCTGTGTAGGCTTGGAAAGATTTTGGAGATTGAAGAAGTCGTGCAGGCTTTGATGGAAGGAATAGTGACCAACCAGAAAATGGTTTTTGTTCCACCACAGCTAAACATTGCTTTGTTTACTGAAATGTAAGTACAAAGGACAATTAAACAATAGATGTGGAAACAACAATACTACCTGAGCATACAAGGTTCAAACTTGTAACCTCCGAGTCAGCAGAAGTTCCAGAAGGAGCTGAGGACCTGCTGCTTATTAGGTTTTGTTTCTTTATGTCAGCACTGAGGCCACAGAGCCTGAGAACATTGCTTCAAAAGGACTGTACTGCTCTCTGCTATGTAAAGCAAGATTTATCCTCCCACACAACTTAATTATCCAGTGCAGCTGCTCTGTGGAGGTGTTTTTACCAGAGCTCCAGTTCCAAATCTGGAATTCACATCCAAACAACTAAGTTAGATTCTCAGTTAAATCCTATAGTATCTCATTAAACACTTGGTAGTTTCTTGTTTGCTAAACCAAACACCAGGCAGTGGGAAAAATATTTTCAATAATTTTGGATCTCCAAGAGCTGTTTGTTGAGAGTGCAAGTCTGCAGAAGCATAGGCAAGTCAAAACTGATGCTGTCAAAGCACTTAGAATAACTGCATTTTTTGGTCATAATTTAGGACAGGGGGATAAAGAGACAAAGCTCTTTAAAAGGAGGAATCTTAGGAGTGAGAACTCCACCTCAGTTTGAAAATCTCATCCTTCCACAGGCCTGCTGCTTTTCAGAGCATGAAATGTAATACACACCTACATATGTACAATATTGAAACTTTCTGGATTCTGCAGCAGTATTGCAGTTCACATACTGCCCACAGATACCTGGCATTGGAACTGTCCTAAAAGGCCAGGAATGGACTTCAATTAGTCAGAGATTGATGAGAGCTATGGAAACAATGCCCAGTTTAATACATAGTCTCAGTTCATATGTGTGCATGCATTCTGCTGCCACACCAGCTCTTCCCTCACCTGCAGTGACACTTTTCCCCATCATTTAAGTTTTTATCCCACTTTTCATTTCATGTTACTCTCATTTCCAGGGTGTTTCCAGAACGTGCCCTGAACCTTCTGAAGAAGATGACCATTCCAAAGTTTGATGCCATCATTGGGCACAGAAGCACCCAGTGAAAAGCAAGAACTGATTCTCATTTCCCAGAGGCACCAGTGAAAAGAGAACATGTGCTGAGTGTATTTCAGCTGCCTTGATTCAGAACAGAGCTCAGGCAGCTGCTTCCAGGCCACCATTCCCAGGCACACCTAAGGGCTTCTCCCACACCTGCAGCTGGAACACACCTGCATAACAGGGAGTGTTAGCAAAGCAGCAAGTTGTTCTGTAAACAGGTTCTTCAGAAAAGGGAGAGCCCTCACCACCCAGCCCCTCCTGCTCTTAACTGGAAACAGGTAGAAGCACTGTTGACAGCTTAAATAACACACTACTTTTTTCCATTTTGCCCACGGAATATTCATGTAACAGGACACTTCCCAGCTTCAGTTCTTGTGCAAGATTCCTGTAGTTGAGACAGGAAAGGAAAAAAGGGGGTTCACAAAATTCAGGACATCAAAAAAAGGTTATAAGCCAATCAAAGAATACTTAGGCATGGTTTTAATTTAAAAAAACAAACCAAAATATGGGGGGGGTTGTATCCCTGCTTCTTTTTGAGGTGCATATTGGCCTCTTGCTACCATGACAGTCCTGTAACATGTGAGACACTTGAAACCACATCTGTCTGGCTTTTTGATTATGTTCACTTTCACCTGTTCTTACCTAGTGAGCAGTCAAAAAGTCTAAAAATACAGATGCTTCAAAAGTTCAAAAGATCTGTCAGAGCAGGCAGCATACCAGCCAAAATGTTTGCCCCTAGCACTCACTGGAACATAAGAGCTAAATCAGTACTTTACAGAATTGTAAGTACTTAACAGCTTTCTCTTGTAGGGCTGGCAAGCATTCTTAACTTCCCACCCAGCTTAGTCTCTCTTTCTACCCACCTTCCACATTTCTTCTGTTTCATGACTTGAATCCTTGCTCAAAGGAGTCGCAGTCCAGTGACTCCACAGGAAGACCCTGGAGAAAAGTCAACAGTGGATGACTTGGCCCTTTTCTTAGACTAGGGAAGGACTGGCTTCAGTAGGACACATCAGACAAGATGCTTGGCTTCTCCTGGCACATCATTCCCACTAGCCCTGTACAACATTTAGATTCTGATGGCAGCATTAAATTGGAACAAAAATCCATCTTGAGGATGACAGTGCTCTTCTGCAGAGTCTGTTTCTTAGCACACTTGCTCTTAAGGAAGGGGAGACTGTAGTGATTCCTGCTTTGCCAGATCTAGTCCAGGGTCTCAGAGCCCAGAGGAATTACTGGGCAAGGCAACTTGTGCAGTACTCCGTGTGTGGCTGTGGTTCTGTTCTGTGTCTTCTATGGCTGCAAATCTTTTGCTTGGCATAAAGACACATATGCAAAAGCAAGGATTTCAGCCTTCATCTCCTGAACACCAGTGACAGAACTGAGGCACCAAGCCTCCTACAGCTAAGTCCCAAACTGAAGAGTGGTACCTCACACCCTGGCCTAAGGACTCCTTATGAGTCAGGTTAGTGACTCTGGCCTTGTGCTTTGCCTCCTGCTGAAATGTCTCTTGTGCTTCCATGTCCTCCCTGCGTCTTTTTCCTTGGCCCCAGCACTGGCTTGAGCCCTGTGCCAGGAAAAGGACAGCACAACTGAGCTGTGCAATTGGGGTCTGGCACAAATGCTGATGTGTTAATTAAGGAGAGAACCAGGTTCCAAGAGAAAAGTAGGAAGCGCCTAGCCCGAAATCTCCGTGCTGGAACTGACCCAGTCTCCCACAGGCAAGATGAGCTGCAGCCAAACCACCAGGGCAAAAATAATACTTTTCAAAAACTCTAATCTTAACTGGACACCATTTTGGTCAGTTGTTAGATGTTTGTGAACCCTTCACTCTTCCCCAAGCAGTTCAAAAATATCCTTAAATAAAATGCTGAACATGACTGCAAAACATCAGATTTTCTAACTGAAAAGTAAAGGAGTAAGGTCAGCAATACTTTCCAGGAAAGGCCTTGAGTTACGTTGGTAGAGCTGGAAGAAACACCTGAAAGTACTTTTCTCCTATTTCCTATAAGCATTCTTGTTCTGCTTGAGGCTCTGGATACTCCATTATATACAAGTGAGTCCCAAGTGTGAGTTGTGTGATTTAGACTAGATTAAATAAAAATATTCAAATTCATGCAACTTAATGCCATTTTTTAAAGGACTTATGGAAACTAAGTGGCTGCAGCCTAAGATGGAAGGTCTGGATTACTAAATAAAAGACATAGTAAGACAAATAGCTAGGCAAGAGCTCACCTGTGGAGTTCCAGAAGTTGAAAGGACTTGACTCATTCAGCTTTCCTTAAGGGACCTGGAAGAGGATGGTGGGGTGCAAAGCCTGCTGACCATGCAGACTTTGCAGAGATGCAATGGAAAGAGGGACCATGAAGAAAACTGCTCAAGGACCTTACAGCACTGAGCAACTCGACAGGTACAAAGCACAAAAACTCTAAAGAATTACAGTACAGAGTTGAAGAGACCATCAAGATGCTTCTGTCAGTAAACTGGATGAGCAATTTTATTGCCACTTCCGTCCCTTTTCCACCTGCGGCAAATGACAAACAAGAACATGTTTTGCTGCTTCCTTGATACAGGGGCCTGAGAGAGGAACAGCAAGGCACTGCCACCTGTGTGGGGACAAACAAAGCAGAGAATGAACGCTTGGGGCAACTGGCAGATCAAAACCAAGGGCAGAAGACAGAGGGGTTCGCACACCTCTATCGTCTGCGTTTTCCTTAGCCAAGGGAGCAGAAAACGCCCTAAAAGCCACATTTCTTTATCCACGTCCGGTACGTCCTGTTAGCTGCAGGGCGAACGTGGTTCTGCGAGGGCAGGTTGGAGTGCAGACCGCAGCCCCTCTGCACCGCCCTCGCAGGGCCACCACAGGGCCAGCAGCACGGGGACAGCGGGGCCCCCGGGTGGGACAGCTGGGCGGAGCTGGCGCTGCGGACGGGGCGGGGGTGGATCCTGCGGGAGCGGACGGCACCGGCGGCGCGCACCGAGGCGGCAGCGGGTAAATCAGCAACCCGCGGGGCCCCTCAAAAGAGATTAAAGTTCAGTCCCGTGCTCGAAGGAGCTCCAGGGAAACGATGAATCTGGTTCTGGAGCTGCTCCTGTTCCTGGCCACGCTCCTCTTCTCCTACCTGGAGGCTTTCGTGAAGCTGTTCGTGCCCGTGAGGAGAAAGTCTCTCAGCGGGGAGCTGGTGCTCATCACGGGCGCTGGCCATGGCGTCGGGAGAGCGACCGCCTTGGAGTTCGCCAAGCGCCAGAGCAGGCTGGTGCTGTGGGACATCAATAAGGTAAAGGACACGCTCGTGTCCTCGCTCCGTGTGACCTGAGACCAGAAGGCTGTTTGCAGAGAGGAGCAGGTCTGCCTTCGCTTGTTCTCTCTGTAGCCTCGGGTGTTTTGTGTGCATTGCTGGGAGATGTGTTTTTTCTGCGCTCTCGTCAGCAGCATCCCTGTGCCGGGCTGTGTGAGCCCGGCTGCCCTCTGGGCAGCTGCACGTGTAAAGGACCTTGGCAAGTGGAGGATGGGCAGATACAAACATGCAGCATGGTATTCAGAAGTTATGAAGGTAAACTCTTGGGTGTAGGTGCAACAGGGTGAGTGAAAGGCTGGGCTTTCTGTTTCTGACACACTGGGTCAGCAAAGAAGCTGATTGTGTTATCCTAAAGCTGCAAAACAGACCCCAGCACAGGGCCCCACTGGCACGGCCTTCTGGCACCTGGGGACAAGACAGGTAAAATAATTTCTGCCCTGGCTTAGTGAGCTGGTACAGTAACAGAGGGAAGCTTCTGTTCTGTGTGTGTCAAGTGCAGTCCTGTAAGGAAAGTCTCTTTGCATTGTACACAGTTGTGGTGGATTGACCTTGGATGCATGTCAGGTGCCCACCAAGCTGCTCTATCATCCCCTCTTCTCAGCTGGACTGGGTAGAGGAAATAACATGGGAAATGATGACTTGTAGGATGAAATAAAGCAGTTTGCTAAAGGTACTAAAACATGTGGCCCAGAGAAGTTATAGATGCCTCATCCCTTGAAATGTTCAAGGCCAGATTGAATGGACAACTTGATCTAGTGCCCCGTCCAGCACAAGGGAGGGTTGGAACTATATAGTCTTTAAGATCCTTTCCAACACAAACCATTTCATGATTCTGTGATTTCCTTTCTGGCAGTCACCTCTACAGAGGTCCAGAATTTCCAACTGGAGTGCCTGTTCTTTCAACGACCCCACCTGTAGCTCTTTCCCTGGGTAGCCATGAACTGTTCAGGGCCTGGGCAGTGGTTGCTCAATCCAGGGATGTCTTCAGCCTCTGCTGCCCAGCTGTGGTGAGGGGACAGCTGTGCACGGGGTCTTTCTCTTTGCCTCTTCCAGCACGGCGTTGAGGAGACGGCAGCAGAATGCCAGAAGCTGGGAGCCACTGTTCAGAGCTTCGTGGTGGACTGCAGCAAACGGGAGGAGATCTACAGTGCTGCAGACAAGGTGGGGCAGCAGGGGCATGGCCAAAGGCTTTCCCAGCCATGCTTGATTCCCAGAGAAGGCTGGAAAACTAGAGAAGACATGTTGTACACAAATCCTGCAAGCTCCTGGAAGCTCTCTACTCCTTGCTGCTCTCTGGACACAGAGTGCTGTAGCATTTCCAAGATCACAGCCAGTCTCATCCTATTCGGGAAACTCCAGCATATCACATCCCCTTGCCAAATTTGTTCTCTAGGGTTCCAGCCTCTGAAGCAACATAGACAGCACTGAGAACATATGAAACATTTTACTGTAACGGCTGTGGTCCAGCTGCCTCAAAACAGTTGCAAGAGTGACTACACAGTCCACTGGCATTAATAAATGGGGAAGAATCAGATCTAAACCAGATTCCATAGCTCTACTGCAAAGTTCCTGCCACATCTGGAAATGTGGCATGATCTCCCTCTCCCTTGGAGATGCACTGTTAAGAATTTAATTATGGTTCAACTTCTCCCCCCTTACTTTTTTTTTTTTTTCTCTCTCCTGCGTGACAGACTCAATTTTGGGCTTTTGTTTTCTCTCCAAAAGGTGAAGAAGGATATTGGGGATGTGACTATCCTGGTGAACAATGCTGGTGTGATTACAGCTGCCGACTTCCTCTCGACTCAGGAGCACCAGATAGAAAGGATGTTTGAAGTCAACATTCTGGGTCACATGTGGGTAAGGGCCACCATCATCTCTAGCTACAGATTTTTGGGAGTGTCAATGAGGAGGCATGTTGAGACCAACCATTATTAGCAGTGAAATGATCAAATGAACTGTGACAGCCCAGGGGCACCTAAGCAGACTGTGTGCTGGGAAAGTGGAATGGTTTCTTCCTGATGTGAGCTGGCTGGAGACAGCCTCATCTGCAGCACACACAGAAGGCCTCTGTCAGAGGAGTCGTGGGGCTGACAGGCTGGGAGGGTTTCAGCAGTTCTTGTTTGTGGCAGAAGAAAAGAGAAGCCATAGATTGACAAGTGGTTCATTGTACGTGCTGGGGGTGAGACCCTGCCAGCATTTCTGCTGACACCTGAAACCTTAAAAGCAGCAAAGGAAAGATGTGAAAACCATCTCCTGTTTATAGCCAACTGCTGAAGCCTTTGGAGAGCAGGTTGCCAGCTGCACCAAGGGTCAGAGAGCAGGTATCCCTGTGGCTCTGGGAGTCTGAGGTGCTGTGCAGCTCGTAGCTTTAGGGATGGCTTTGGCCACCTAGTGAATAACATTGAGGGTCAGTGCTGAGTATGCCTAAGAAAACAATGTTCTTTTCCTTCTTTCTGTCCCATGCATTTTGCCTCTTGGTTTAAATGACTTCCAAGACCACAAGAGCTTTCCTGCCAGTCATGATGAACAACAACTATGGGCACATTGTCACGGTGGCTTCAGCAGCAGGTCATTTGGTGACTCCTTTCATGGTGGTATAGTCTGCTCAGCTGGATTATTTGGAGGTTTTTGCATCCCACACTTTACTGTGTGTGTATGATTGTTTAAGCCATTTGTAGTGGTAGAAAGGTGGAAATAGGATTTCTGTCTTCTCATTTTACTTTCTCCCTTCCTGCAGCTCAAGCAAGTTTGCTGCAGTTGGATTTCATAAAGCTCTGACAGAGGAGCTGTCTGCCCTGGGAAAGGATGGAATAAAAACAACATGCCTTTGTCCAGTTTTTATAAACACTGGATTTGTCAAAAACCCCACTACAAGGTAACTCTCACTACTCTGCATTCCTGTGTTTCCTTCCTTGCATCAAGGCCCTGCATATTATCCCCAGCTTTAGGCCTCTGTTCCCACTGGCTGTATAACAACAGTTTGTATCATTGACTAAAGAACATCTGGAATGTCCTTTAATTGTTGCTTTAATTGTTGTTTAATTGTCCATGCAATTGTTGCATTTGAATTACCTGAGTTTGTACATTTGTGAAGCCTCCTAGATCAGCTGGTACCACCCCATTTTATCACTGCAGCTCTTATGTGTTTGCTTTCCTGTGTAGGCTTGGAAAGATTTTGGAGATTGAAGAAGTCGTACAGGCTTTGATGGAAGGAATAGTGACCAACAAGAAAATGGTTTTTGTTCCATCAAATCAGGGCATTGGTTTACTGCTTGAAAAGTGAGTAGGACAAAAAAAATGTATCAACTGTAGCCTGATGAGTGTACCACCCTCAAACTTGTAAAATCTGATTCAAGATTAAGTTGTATTTTAGAACACATCAGTAGGTAGTTGATAATGCAGTGGTTCTTTCCAGTGGCAACGGCAGGCATCATTTTGAGATTTTGTTGGGCATTCTCACAGACCTTTGCATTGAACCATTTGCTGCAGCTGACTGGTGTCCATGCAGAGCTTCACTGTTCTGCAGGCCACCACATTCTCTGAAACAGCAGCCCCAGCGTAGCCCCAGAGTGAGATGAGGACCTGAGTGTTTTTTTCTCCGTCAACACCAAAAATTCAGGCCATTAAGGTTGGAAAATTGCTCCTAAAAGGGCTCTGTTTCAAAGAGAAAGCAAATACTTGTGCCTATGTTTAGTATGAAAACTTTCTGGATTCTGCAGCAATATTGCAGCCTAAATCATGGTTGGTACATACCTGTCCTGGAACTGTCATAAAAAGAGATGGGTGGGATTTGAGTCAAGTTGTTCTGTAAACCAAGTTTGTTCTGTTCTTTTTTCTTCAGAAAAGGGAGAGCCCTCACCACCCAGCCCCTCCTGCACTTAGCTGGCAACAGGTAAATGTTTTGCTGCCATCAGCACAAATAGTTGCTAGATGAGCTAAATGACACAAAAATAGTTTCATTTCTGCTCATGGAACATTCATGTAACAGGACACTCAGGGTGAGTGAAGTTCAAGTTCCCAGCTTCGGATTTTGCTTCATAGAGAAAGCAAAAAGAAAAGAAAGAAAAGGTAAGCAAATTTCAGAGAGTGTTAGATGTGGTTAGTATTTAAAACCAGGACCCTCCAACCCCCAAAGCATTTGAAAGAAGCATGCTTTGAGTCCTGAACGATAAAGGATTACAATTTGCATGCATTTTCAGTAAGCTATTTTGTAAGTCTGTTTTCCCTGCCTCAGTAGCATCCCTCAAATCTGAGAAGAGTGACTTAGTGACTTTTGTCTACTCTGAAAGTTGTTTTTTCTTCCTTCTATTTAAGCTGCATACTCAGCTCTTTCCGAGAGGACAGGCCTGTCACAAATGAGAGCTACTTGCTCTTCTCCACGTTTCCAAGTCTTTTGCTTGGCATAAAAACCGGACAACAACCAAGGACTTAAGGTTTCATCTCCTGAGCACCAGTGACAGAATTGAGGCACCAAGCCTCCCAGGCTCCTCAGTTCTCTTTCTGCCCACAACACTCAGCTGAAGCTTAGCCCAAACTCTGATCACCCATGGGTGCCCAGCAGGAGTCCGTGTGAGTGGGTTTCATGCAGCCACCTACAGCTAAGTCCCAAATTTGAAGAGTGGTACCTCACACCCTGGCCTAAGGACTCCTTATGAGTCAGGTTAGTGACTCTGGCCCTGTGCTTTGCCTCCTGCTGAAATGTCCCTTGGAGCTGGTGCTTCCATGTCCTCCCTGCCTTTTCTTCCTTGGCCCCAGCACTGGCTGGAGCCCTGTGCCAGGAAAAGGACAGCACCACTGAGCTGTGCAATTGGGGTCTGGCACAAATGCTGATGTGTTAATTAAGGAGAGAACCAGGTTCCAAGAGAAAAGTAGGAAGCGGCTAGTGCTTAATCTTTGTGCTGGGGTCAGTGTAGTCTCCCTCAGACACGATGAGCAACAGCTCAGTTAAAAGCACCATGATGTTGGCTAGGGGTCTGTGGAGCTCCTTCCTCAGCTCTTCCAGCTGTTCTGCTTTAAAAAAAGCACAGGAGAGTGAGGGATTTCACGTGCCAGGTGCACGTGCTCCCTGAGGAGCTGCTGCCAGCGGGGCTGGGACCGCCTTGCCAGGTGACAGGGGCTCTGGTCCCCAAAGCAAGAGGCATAAAGGTGAACTACTTACAGAATTTCTAGTAGCATGGACTGCAACTGCCCACAGCTCTGCCACCTGGCCTGTCTCTTTAGCAGAGTCTGAGAGTACTTTGGAGACTGGCTCTGCCACATTTTTCCAAAGTCCTTGAATCCTACTCAGAATGTTAGGAGAATCATCTCATCCTGTGTTTCTTGGCACAAACCTAGGCCACTTACAAGAGAAAATCAGGACTGTACCTCTCAGTGCCACTGTCTGCTAGCACCAAGGCCCCAGTGTCATGACTAGGACAATAATTTTTAATGCCTGCAGGTGGTACTTGTGTGCATAAAAATCCAGGCAATTTTAGGCAGCATTTCAGAACATGGATTTCTAAATGCACAGAATCTCCTGAACCCAGCAGTTCAGGATGGGGTTTTGTATTGTTTTGTGGTTTTTTACTACTTCTCCACTGAAATTAAGCATCTGAGATTACTGGTGGTTCACAGTGTTACAAAACTGTCTGCAAAAATTCTGACTCAACTTTTTGGTACCTTGTCACCATCATATTTTCTGAAAAATCTCTTTACCCAGGATTCTTCTCCTGGGAAGCTGAGAGACCTCAGAGAAAAATGTAAATAATAATTATCTGATCTGCTTCTCCTGTTTTGCTACTTTGAAATGTGGTAGGTGATTGTTTCATGTGAATTGTTTTCACTTAATGACCAATCACTGTCCAGCTGTGTCAGGAGTATGGAGAGTCACAAGCTTTCATTATCATTCTTGTTGAGCCTTCTGTCTGTATCCTTTCTCTATCTTTAGTATAGTTTTAGTATAGCATTATATCATATCATAATAATTTAGCCTTTTAAGAAAATGGAGTCAGATTCGCTCATCTCTCACCTTGTCCTGGGCACACCTGCAAACTCAACAGTACCTTCAATCTCTTATCTATTATCTGACCATAAAAATGCATCTATTATCTGACCAGGCATTTTTCCTTTTTCCAAGCAAGTCTCTTGCTTTGTTTGAGCTCATCACCAAGAGAATTGTGGGATTGTAGCTTTACTGCAAAACTTCTACCAGAGTATGAATAAGCTTACATTTATCCAAGAAGACAGGTGTTGCTAGGATTAAACTTGTTCTTGTGCAAACTATTTCCTCTCTGTGTTCTCAGCCTTTTAATGTTCACAGCTGGTAGCTGACCATTTTCTAAAACACCATAGTCAAAATTTTTTTCAAGAAATATTCTAGTTAAACTGGTGTTGCAACAGAAGGATATACTCAGTGCTCAAAAATAATCTGGTGACAATAGTTGTCAGCGAAGGAGAGAGACGGGGAGACTGCTTCAGTGATCAGAATCTGAATGGAATTTATGCATCATGTATGAGATGTATGAATATGCAACAGGCTATTGCTTTTAAGGGTTAATCCTCTGTTAATGGGTGTCCATTTTCGGGCTTATTTTGCCCAGAAAAAGGTACCCGGACTGTCCGTAACTGTTTGTTTTTATTATCTCATATTGTCCTAACCTTAAATGTCCAAATTTTTATTACTCTAATATTATTACTATCTTTATAACCATTTTATTACTATTAAACTTCAAAAATTTTTAAAAACAAGTAATTGGCGGTTTTCACAGTCTTTTTCTTGTATTTTTGTTAAGGTTTAATAAACCTTCTTAAATTTTTAAAGTGAGCACTCATTTCTCACATCCCCCTCCTTAAAAGTCTTTTTCTTTAGTTGCATCCAGTGATCATAAGGATCAGGAGGGAATGGATCACTCTCATAGTCTGAATCTACGGGTCCTGGATCAAAGGGCTCCTCACTGCTAGAGCCACAGTCAGTGATGTAGGCTGCCAACCACCATGAGAAAGAATGCCTTGCCCTCCTAGGCCTGGGCAGGGGCAAGGTTGATGGCTGTGGCAGCTCTTCGGTATAAGAGGTGCCAGTTTCAAGTGCGCAGGGAGAGTCAGAGTGAGGCAGGAGGTCAGCGGCATCTGCAGAGGATACAGCCCCAGACTACTCTTGCTTTTTCAATGTCTTAAAAGGTATTCACCAGGACGGGAGCCAAAGTGACTTAAGGTCCTTCTTTGGGATGGGGGAGTCAAGCCTGCCCAGAAGGTTTCTGTGGTTTCATAGACGTGTCTCTCTTTGGACATTTCCTTTCCCATATTTTTAGTTCCCCTGGCTCACCTGTCAGTCACATCAGACAGGTGACTGTGGGCCCAAACACGGCTCTCTCACTGTCACACTCAGTTCCAGGGGCTCGCTGACTCCCTGCCAATCAGGCTGGCTCTTCTTCCTCACACAGAGGCAATGGAGAGAGATGGGGAGACTGATTCAGTGATCACAATCCAATTTTATTGTAGCAAACAAACACTGACATACTATTTTAGGGAGACTAATAATGTGTACTACTATTAGGTTAAAATCACATACACAAATGTATGCATATAAGAATGCATCTTGCTTGCAGAGTTTAATGAGATTTTATTTTTCTGGTTAGCCTGATTTAATCTTCTTGCAGTCTAGATCTAATTTTCAAAGTTCTGTTTGCTTTTGCCAAGGCATCCTGTTATCAAATCTCTTATGTTAACCAGATCCAAAGTTCACCATCTGTCTTGTGCGTCCCACCCCCGCCAAATACTGCCAAATAATGGCAGTATTTTTGTATAAAGAAATTCCAGACACTCATGTTCACCAGTGCCTCCCAGCTTGCTAATCTCTAATGGGAGACAAACCCAAAACCT